GAGCTTTACAACGTCGGTGGGGGAGGGGGAGGGGGGTAAGAGGAGGGGCAGGAGGGGGTAGGAGGGGGTGGAGGAGGGATGGGAGGGCGTCAGGGAGGAGGGGCAGGGGTGGGTGGGGGGCGAGGGGGCCTCTGGAGAGCTTTGTGCTTCCTGCTCACGTCCTGCTGTGCAGGCTGTGGCAGCCTCATGTGGTGGTGGCCTCGGTGGCCTTGGTGGCCTTGGTGGCCTCGGTGGCCTTGGTGGTCTGGGTGGTTTCCATGGCCTCAGTGGCCTCGGTGCCAGAAGCCAGTGCCAGGCTTGTAAGGGGTGTGCCACGGCCCCACCCGGGTCGGCAGGCCCGGAGGACGCCCACGCCCCACCGTCCGGGAGCGGGCACCCACAGGGCATCTCCCACCGTGCAGGTCAACTTCTTCCTCTTCATCAGCATCGTACGCATTCTGCTGCAGAAGCTGACATCCCCCGATGTGGGCGGCAATGACCAGCCCCAGTACAGGTGAGCACCTGCTGGCCCGCAGGACAGGACAGTGTCCAGGCACAGGGGGCCAGAGTCTGCGCTGACTCACAGGTGAGCACCTGCTGGCCCGCAGGACAGGACGATGGCCAGGCACAGGGGGCCAGAGGCTGCGCTGACTCACAGGTGAGCACCTGCTGGCCCGCAGGACAGGACGATGGCCAGGCACAGGGGGCCAGAGGCTGCGCTGACTCACAGGTGGCCACAGAATAGTCTGTGCTGCGTCCTGGTTGGCTGGCCAAGAGGCCAAGAGGCAGGGCTCCGGTGGGCATGACGGACCCTTCTCTTGCCTGTCTACGGACGCTGAAGCCAGCAGGCTACGTAGGTGTGTGGCCAAGCCCCGGGTCAAGTCCTGCTGTTTCCCCTTGGCCACAGTCACCGCGACTGCTGTCAGAGCCGCGGGTGGGCTGCGTGTCTGCGGCCAGCAACTGGTGCTAGGCTGACCACTGCGAAGGACAGGCAGGGCTGAGGTTAGAGACGTCAACAGACAGCTAAAACCTGCAGATTCTATAAACTGCCACCCCCATTCATACCAAAAGTAGAAAGTCACAACTGGTATAAAATAAGCAGGAGCGTGGGGCTGACCTCTTCGGTCCAGGTCAGGAGACGCAGGCGCCGCCGCCACGCCAGCCCAGGTCCGGCAGCCGGGTGTTTCCCGCTGCCCAGGGACCTGCTGTCCGGCCATCCATGGCGGACACCGGCGGTGGGCGGGCAGCAGCGGCCAGGGCCCAGAGCTGGTCCCATCCCACGGGGGCCTGAGATTCGCCCCTCACGCTCTGGCCGCCTCACTTAGAACGTGGGGCTTGTTTGCCAGTTGATGAGTCCTGAAAGATGTGATGTGCCCGGCACCGAGGGGCCGCTGTTCATATCCTTCACCCTGCCAGTGTGCCGGACAGGGGCCCGTTTTGATTTCTGCTTAGTAAGGAATGGCCTGTGGAGACTAGCCATGCTCTACCCAGGAAGCAACCGTAGAGCAGGCTCCTGGGGTTGGAGCCTGGCCATCCTATTGAGGAGCCTTGAGTATACTGAGTGTGACAGAGGGTGGGGGAAATGAACACACTTCTAAAACTTGCACACTCAACTGTAGATCAGAGGCATATACCTCCAAACAAGATGAAGACATCAGTGTTTCTCTTCAGTGTTGGCAGGTGACGTGTCTGACACTAAGCAGAGCAGTTTGCCGACGCATTGGACTAACGGGACCTAGATCAGCAAAGGCCCCGGGGTTCTCCCGCAGGGACCCGCGTGGGGCTCAGAGGCCCCTCGGGATGTGTGCGGTGGGCCCTCTGCTCTGCCATCCACTTCTTTTTGCTCAGTGCAGGGATGGAATTCAAGGCCTCACACCTGCTAGGTTAATGCCCTGTCCCTGAGCTGCACCCCAGCCTGTTCAAGGCTGGTGGCCGATGTCCCCTCCAGATGACACTTTGTGCAGACAGTGTCGCCCATGTGCGGCATGGGGGGATCTTGGGATGTGGGATCTTGGGTCACAGGTGTGGAGTGGGGGGATCTTGG